AGGGAGCAGGGAAGGAGGCGGAGGAGGGGAACGTGCCAGCCAAGAGAAAGAGAGAGAGAGAGAGAGAGAGAGAGAGAGAGAGAGAGAGAGAGAGAGAGAGAGACATCCCAAGGGCGATGAACAGAATCCGAGTGAACGGGCGTAGCTCGGTTGGTACTGCAAGTTCGAATCCAGATACAATCAGATGAACCATATAAAATCATTCTGAATTACCTGGGGCCGGTCAGTTCGATGATAACCCAAGGCCATCGCCCTTTTTAATAGTTTTTATTTAAAAAATGTAAAAAAAGTGAGGGTGTGCTGAGATGACTACAGAGGAGATGAAGGTAGCATGAACAAGTCCACACATATACGATTGACAATCCGGGTCCCACCGGTAGCTACGTCTGAGATCAGAATGCACAAACGTAGACATAACATTGGTTAGGTTCGCACAAACTTTGCACAAGCATAGCACCAGTGGGGCCTGGCCCTAATGAAGTACCTTTGCCGAAAAAAAAGACTGGCATGACCAGAGTAGCGTGCCAAACCGATCGACCAAAAATGGTCAACATCTCTGCCCACTGGCTTGTTCTACTCTTCCTCCGGGCTTTATCCTATCGGATCTCTATCTACACGTGTACAGTGCCTACCTAAAAGTTTTACGCGTGGCCCTGCGATACAAATAAAATGGGATGGGGTCCCGGGCCGGACTGCTGAGGCGTGTGAATCCTTTCTTTTTTTTTGCTTTTTTTTCTTTTGTTTTCTTCTTTACAAATGCCCAGGTTGTTGTAGAGGCAGGATAACAGGCGCAGGAGTACTCTCCGCAGTTCAGTCACTCTTTGCACTTTCTAGCAGGAGATGCATTCTCCGTTTTCCACGCTTGGTAGCTACAGCAGCTACAAAGAACCTTATTGAAGAGGTTCAGTCAATACCATCCATCTGCTGATGCTTGGAACCAGTAAGCACCCCAAGGCTCTTTTCCCCGAACCTGTCCAACAACAGGCCATACCAGAAATAAAGGGGGCCCGTCAAAGATGAACCTTGTGGATGCATCTGATCCCAATTCAATATCCATGCATTGTGAAACCACAGCTCTTCCGGCCAACGGCATCGACCTGACAATGGGTTACATTATACAAGCGCGGGGTAAAAAAGGGGCCCTCCTTCTGTATTGCCGCTTTACACCACCAGCACACAACAGGCCCTCCGCGAACCTCTGATATTCTTTCCATGACCAATGAGTTGGACCGAATGTAGGCAGGCCCGTATATCCGAAGTCGTGCTACCCCACAACCTACTCATGGCTTAAATATGCACAGAAACAAACGCCAGGCCACCCCGCCCCTCAAATTTGTTGCGAAGCTTGAAACTCAACCAATATTCTTTATAGCTCTAAAGAATAAATATAACTTTTTTGTTTTTTTAATATAGCAAAATGAAAAAATGGCAAAGAAATAAATAAGAATAGAGGTAGTATATATAGTCAAATAGAGCTGCCCGGTAAACTGTAGGCAGAGAGGGAGAAGAGGGCAACAAACGAGGGGCTGTGACAAACTGTTTCGTYGGAGTTTCACCGACTCATCAGGAGGCTGAACCCTCAACAGTCTGAGAATCCCCTACCTAACTGATTACACTGTAAGTGACAATCCACCTTAACCCCGGCTGTGGTTAAGCATCAACGACTGCCCGACAACTGATACCCTGAGGTGGGCACCAACCACTGCCCTCGAGGTACCTGTGACGAAAATCAAAGCAGACTATCACTCACCCACACCAGATGGAAAACTCGACAGATGTTAGACAAAATATCTGATACACTCAAAACTGATCATCGTTCCCATCATTTTACTATCTTCTTCCAATTCTGTAATATTTACAAACGGCGGAGCACGAGGAGGAACGCAACATGGGTGCTATTGCCTTTCTCAGAAACAGCATGGCGTTGACCATAGGTGTTACTTACTGACCTACCAAGGAGAATTGTTTTGACTATAGATCAGTGTTGCACACGCCGACCGTCGGCGACCCCTGACTGGTCGGCTGCCGACCCGCCGACCGGTCGGCTGGTCGGCACGTACCGGTCCGGGGTCATAGGCACCCCGCAAAAAAAAAAAACAAAAAAAAAGGGTCCAGAACCCCTAATAACCCCACGAACACCCCCATACCCACCCCAAATACCCCCATACMCCCCCCCCCAACACCCACAAAACGGCCCCCAACCCCCTAATAACCCCCCCCCAATACCCCCTTTACCACCCCTATACCCCCCTATACACCCCAGTCCCAACCCCGCCATCCCCAAAAGTTTCTCAGCGGATTTGGGCTGTACTCAGCAAGCGCAGTACAGATTCCAACTCAGATCTGAAAAAAAATTAGCGGATGGTTGTTTTCTGACTAGTCGGCCGACCGCCGACCGGTCGGCCCTACTGGTCAGCTGCAATACGGTCGGCTGTCGGGGTCGGCGGTCGGCAGGGATGCAACCATGCTATAGATGCTACTGTACGTCCCAGACAGCGTGAACTGACTATGAGGAATGGACTATACGTGCTTTACGAACGTTTCAAGGACGGACTGGCTATCGGCGTAAGATAGACTCTAGGTGTTACTGTCCTTCCCAGCCACAGAGTGTACTGACTATAGGTGCTAATGACTTTTGAAGGAAGAATGGGCTACTGGCGTTCGGTGATAGGTATTGGATTGTAAGGTCGTACTGTCGTTCTCAGGCAGAGCAGACTGACTACAGAGGCCTGGGCTATAGCAGTTGTTGGACTACAGGTTTTGGACTATAGGTATAGAAATGCTGTTGTTTTAATCAATAATGGTTTGCCTATTGGTACGAGAATTTTAGGTTGTGTGACACATGAACTACGAAAAAAATGCTATTTGAAAATAGTCTCAATGGCACCTTATGTAATTTAAATTAAATAAAAAAGGCAGATTTTCAAACATGCAAAATAGACTCCGTTTTCATTACATAGGTGTCACTGACCTTTCACAGAGGAATGGGCTTTAGGTGTTTTTGACCTTTCAAGGAGGAGACTGCTATAGGTATTGCGTATCTCCACTAACATAAGGCAGGTGGGAGCAAAGAATACGAAATTACAACAGCAGGCAAAAGGTCTATTATGGGCCGTGGAGAGAAGAGGCCAAAGAAGCATGCAAAGGCGGCATGGAGGAGGAATATGCCCCGCACATGATGAAGAAGAAAGGAAGAAGTGCATGCAATACCAACAAACATACCTTGGCCCTTCCGTCGTCGACCCCAATGTAGAGAGGTGCCTTCTTGAAGGACACCCTAGCCAAGTCCTCGACCTAAACAACATCACCACCATTACACAGACAAAATCTGTTGAGCAGAGATATCACACATGCTTCTTAAAATAGCAAGCCAGAAACTGCTCTCTCTCTCTCTCTCTCTCTCTCTCTCTCTCTCTCTCTCTCTCTCTCTCTCTCTCTCTCATACTGTAAATGTCCATGTTGACTGCAAACAGATCTGCAGGGTTGCAGTTTGTGGATAACTCATGCCCTACCATTTCCGAAGCAGCAAGACTCTCATCAGCACCGTCTCCATGAGCACCATGATGCAAAAGCTTTATGGAAACTTGTATCACAACAACGTACGTCTTTTCATTGATCCCATCCCAATCGCACCAGCATGAAAACACAAGGGATAAGACATTGCGCCGAATGCAAAGGTTCTTCCTTTTCCATACCTTGGTTGTCTGTGTGGCCGAGAAGAGTACAGTTTGGCGATCCTGCACACACACACACACACACACACACACACACACACACACACACACACACACACACACACACACACACACAGAGACACACACACACAGCCCACATACAGACAGTCCATGTGAGTAGAGGAATGCCGGATACCCTACAAAAAAAGAAGATGAAGCATCTTTGGTTTAGGGTCTGTAGTACAGAACCTGTTCGAAGCCTGTTAAGTATGCCAATTACCTGGCTTTTGTACACAGAGAGAGAGAGAGAGGGAGGGAGAAGAGAAAGAGAGAGGTAGGCGAGACGGGATGATATTTGAACGAGCAGATACGAATCATTTCCAAAGCAAAAAGCGTGCCTGAACACTTATGAGATGAAACCAGTTTACGAACCACTGGATGTGACAGTATTACAGGGGGGACAGTCAAACCAGCAATCTTTGGCCAGCGTCTCGCTTTTACGCAGATCAAGTACATCCAGGAAAGTCCTAGCATAAAGGCGTCCCAAGGCTAACACCACAGAGCAATACGCTTTTGGGCCTTATTTATCCACCCACTTTGTGACTGAATCGGTGCACATATATAAAACTGGCAATGATCAGATCACAAGTTCAAATCTTGTTCACAAAGAAATATCAGCTCCTACCGTCTTCAACCGAATAGAACGCCAGGTAATTATTGCCGTATCTGGGCTGAAAGTTGCGGCAAATACAGCTATAATGACCGGGCGTTATATTCGGGTGAAGACGGTAGTTCCAGGTGGTTAGCAAGGAGACCACTGTTTGCCAAAATGGGATAACATGATAGCACTGAGGAGGCAGCTTCGGGAACCCAACCCAACTTGGGACTGGCGGCTGTATCAGAGCGACAACCGGATCCAGGGGGTTGTCGCTCCGATACAGCTGCCAATCCCAAGTGGGCGGAAACGGGACCCAACTTGGGACATCCGGTTCGGGTTTCAGGCTTCGGGAAAAGACCACCACATAGGATGAGAAGACTACCGGGAAAGCGCTGGGAATATTTTTCACAACCTCATCAATATGATTCTTGAAACATACACGCAAGTGTTGGATATCAGACCATGGGAGTTGATGGCCAGAAAGAAGAAAAAAGGGAAGATGTCAGGGTAATTAAAACTCCCTGGACCTGTCTCTGTTCTCTTCTGGAGAGCAGCATTCGGTTCGACTCAACTCACACTTCTCCCCATCGCTTCCTACTGCAACGTTAAAAGATGTTCTGGTCCCCACAACAGAATACAGCCATGGTGTTTTCAAATGGGGAGGACGGGAAGGAGGAGGGGAAGGGGGAGGGGGGGCGGGGAGGGGAGGGGGAAGCGTCATGGATGGGGAAAAAAAGTCAATCATTTATGACAATGTTTAAGAACGTACCCCATTTTCGCTTTTTGGGTTTCTTTCACTGCAACAACCATATCGCACTGCGATCACCTTAAGGAAATGTTCACAAGAGAAACAATCATTTCCCTTCCTTCTTTTTTTCCCAGGCAAAGTCAAGAATTGAATATGCGATATTCCAAAGACTTCTACTTGACCAAAATGGTTTAAGAGGGGGGGGGGGGGGGGGGGGGGGGGAGAGGGCACGAGGGGGGAACGCCACTGTGGCGGTTCATTTGTTTGGCACACAGAGGAATCCGCCTTGGCTCAAAGCGGCTCAGAGGTAGTGGGGGGTTTAAACCACTAGTACATCCGAAAAAGCAGATTGAGCCTCTTATAAAAATTTGGAGGCCATGGACCATCGATAAAATGAATCGACGGTTCATGGCCTCCTATTTTGTAGGAGAGGCTCAATCCACTTTTCTGGATGTACTGGTGGTTGAAATCAACGTTTCTGTGGGGTCAAACCAAACCCTGGTTGCACTCCCAGCTTAACCAACCAACCCTACCTTCGGGAGAAGCTTTATGATCTGCCTCATTTCCTCTTCAAATCCAATTTCCAGTATCCGATCCGCCTCATCGATCACCAGGCACTGGGACAGATTCAGACCATCAACGACAATCACAGGTAACAAACACAGACATGCAGCAGGTTCAGTACTCACAACCAAGTTTTCACTGTGCACTCAGCTCCAAAGACCACACGCACACATACAAGCACAGCCATTCTCTCTCTCTCTCTCTCTCTCTCTCTCTCTCTCTCTCTCTCTCTCTCTCTCTCTCTCTCTCTCTCTCTCTCTCTCTCTC